CATTCACACAGTACACATATTCACACCTGGAAGCTGCCCAGAACTACAGTCTGACCTTTTGGGCCTTGCTCAAGGGCACCACAGTGGTGTTGATGTGGGAGGAGCAAGCACTGCTTTTTCACTTGTCCCACTGGTTTAATCCTGCCAGTCGGGGGATTGAACCTGCAACTTCATGTTGTAAAAATTTTATTGTAGTTAAATTATTTTTAAAACTTACTGTTAAGTCACACTCATCTTAATTTAGTTTTCTGTTTGCTCCTTTGTCTTTCAAGCCTTTCGGATAATTCCCTACCCACTGGAGAAGGGTCATCTGTTTTACCCTTACCCAGGATGCACAGAAACAGCAGACAGGGAACTACTGCCCTGTAAGTACAATATCCTGACCTTTACTTGCGGGCCATGAATGTGTCTCGTTTCCAATTTGATATCCTAAACGGTCGTCCTCTCACTACTTAAACCCCATCTCCCATCGAAATGTTTCAGTTCTGTTTATCTGACTTTCTTTCGCTGGTTGTTTCTCTGTCATCCTCACCACAGCTTTTCATGAGGTGTCTGTGTACCCAAAGAAAGAGCTTCCCTTCTTCATCCTCTTCACAGCAGGCCTTTGCTCCTTCACCGCCATGCTGGCCATGCTCACACATCAGTTCCCTGAGCTTATGGGTGTCTTTGCCAAAGCAGTAAGTACTGAAACTAAATATCTCAATTTCATTCTCAAAACCATATCCAGCTGCTATAGCTGAAGTCATAACAACCTCACACTGTACATTTGCAAATTAGCAATTTAGCTGAATGTCCTAGCAAAAGTTAATTTAGCAAACAGGTTAATGTGACATGTGCAATTGTCCATAATGACTTTCAGTGGCACATAGCAATCAATTTTCCCACCTGTCCAGCAGAAAAAAGAGCAACCTCTGCATCCATCCTCATCCCTTTTAAATCCCAGAGGTGTCTCCATGTTTGGAAAGCAGCACATAGCTAATGTTATACAGATCTCCGACTTTGCCTTATTTTTAAATCTTTGTGCTTAAGTCGTTCTCCTCCTTGGCCATTTAGTTGTGTAGGCTGTACATGGAAGCAGTGGAGCCGGTACTTTTTCAGCCATCTCTCCCTTTCGGCTGCAGTAATGGTGTGAAGTTTCTGAACGTAACCGTTTTGTAATCTGAACATTTTAACCCCTGGTTAACTGCTGCCTTCTATCACTGTCAGTAACACTGGAGGGTCATGGGAGTCATCAGCCTGTAAAATCACGAAAACAAGCTGTAGTCCAACTTAAGCTATCAGTAACCACAGCTGAACAGGGCAGCCCTATCACTGTGGCAAACATATCAGTTTAACCTACAGTCTTAAAGATTAGGAACTTTAAGTGCATCCGTGACTTTATTTGTTATAGAAGTGTTGTATTATCAGTTTTAGCCAGTGTGGTAAACTCCTTACTTCGGCCATTTCTTTGTTTATGCTCATCCTTTTTATTTGGGCCCGCCTTTACAGAGACTCACAGACTTGTAGCAAAAACAAGGCCACAGAGAACATGTAGTGCTCTTGCTTTTGTTATGAGAAAGATTGGGAGCAGATAGGATTTTTACAGCAGTGTCGGCGAGCCTGGTTTGTGTAATGTTCAGATAGAGTGAGGGAGGAACACAGAGGTCCTCACTGCCTTCTGAGGAAAAACAGATTTCTCTGAATCTACTGCTCTTGAAAATAAGATCCCAGCAAGGCAAGACAGTGGTGATATGGTGGAGGTGGTGGCAGTCTGCCTGTCCTTTATTAAATGGACACCAGATATGGAAGACATATAGCTGTTGTTTCATACTGTATATTAAATGGGATTATAAAGTGCTTGGTTTGCACTTGTCTGGCCAGGATAATATTTCCACTTAATGAGACTATTTAAGTGTCAGGTATATCAAGAACACCTCAAGTAGTATCAGTGAAAATAAACATATTGTATTACCAACTAACATAAATCACTAACATGCATTTTAGCAAATACCTGATTTAATATTCTTTTAAGTAGATCCTAGATCTTAATCTTAAACTTAAGCTGATATGTACGTTGTACTGGTAACCATAAAAACATGAGTTATTGAGCTGCTCCTCAGGTTCTGCATACAATCAATATTTTCCAGCTGTGTTAGAGCAGAAATAATATCAGTGCTCCTGTTTTATACCAATAAACAACTGTGGCAGGTGCATTGAATAAAATAAAAATGAGAAAAATGTTTTTACCGTGTTGCAGTTATCATCAAAATTAGGTTCACTAGCAGAATGACTGTTAGCCTGCCAGTGTGACAGGGATGAGCTGGAGGGCCATGTCTAATCTGGATTTTTCTTGTTGAAAGTAATAAAATTGTTTGTTTTGTTTTTTTTCTTTTTCAATCAAGACCCATAACACTGCTTTAGTGAAATTGTGAGCTTTGTACCTTTTGTGCTTTACTTAAACATTATCTAAGAGTAGGAGGAGGATCTTCTGACATTGGAATGAAAGCTCATTGTGCTTTTTTTCCTTTCAGTTCTTCAGCACACTCTTTGCACCCCTGGGTTTCTTCGCAGACAAGATGGAAAGCTTCATGCCGTCCAGTTTTTGGCACCAACTGACTCAGATTTGACCCCTTGGCTTTCGCTGTCATACACACACACATATCCGACAAAGAGACACACCAATATCACTCGAAACCCTCAGACAAAAAGTGTTTGCTCTCCTGTCTTCAGCATTACTGTCAACTTGCTGCATTGTTACTGATTATGTTGGCTGAGGTTATATCAACACGGCAATACCACACTTAAGATGCTCTCCCACACTGTTCCAGCAGCAAGGGTTTTTCCAAGAACACATTTAGAGGATACAGTTTGCAGCGATTTCACGGGGTCATTCATTTGTTATCGTGGAAATTCAAAAATTTCAGTATCCCGCAAAGCCTTGCTCAGAATTTTGTTCAACGACAAACTGATGTTTTAGCAGTGCAACTTAACCTATTTTTCACAGCATAATTTTATGTGTATTAGAAAGAGCCAAGAGGTATTCGGGATGGGGACCTATATGTGCTCTATCCACCCACTGCGCCCCACAGACAATCCAGTGGGTCATATTTAAAAGTCTGAGACCTCCTAAAAACAGAGCTGTGATTTACAGCCTTGGAGTGGCTGCTGTGTATACAGTGCCTCTGCAGTTCAACAGTTGTTACCATGGCATGACATCTCAGCACTATATCACAGGGGCAAGTGCCCCCCAAGCATAGTTAGCTAGGCCTGCTTACAGATATGTTGAGTTACATTTAGAGATGATAAGCAACACAAACAGACATGCCCAGACATGCTCTGCTAAGTAAGATGCCATTTTACTTAGTACATGCAAACCCCCTTGCCCTGCTTTTACGTGTGTTCATTTTGCCTGAAATAGTACACGTGTTGATTCTGCTGTAACTGTGTTGTTTCCAACAGTTCTTTTCTTCTATGAAAGATTTGCTCTTCTTTGTTTTATTGAACTACATATGCTGAGTTACCTGCAAAGTATTATATAAAAACTGTTTGATAATGTAATCACTTGTCAGAAAAAAAAAGTGTCTGGTACAAAATTGTAATAAAACTGTAGATATACTAATCTGTATATTGATATATATTATTCACAGAAAATATACAGTAAGACTATGAAGAATGTACTATTTGAAGCTTTTTTTAAAACGTAAAATACATCAGCATTGATGTAACGTCACATCATCTCAACAGTTTATTACATTAACAGGTTGTATTACATTTTCTAAGCCATTAGCATTATATGTTTCTTTTAATTTGTCGAGTTACTTATTACATTATCTGCTGCTACAACAATATAGACAATATTCATGCTTCGTGATGAATTGTGAGTGACATTATACTGTACTGACAGTTCTCCACTCCCATGTGTAATTACAGAAACATGTGATATTTAGGTGCCTTTTTAGTACATCACACTAACTAAACACACCAATCTGGCACTTACTTTACCTGGAATATTGATGTAGTGTTTAGTAGCAACTCTGTCCGGTTTCTCTGTATGAAATCTGTTAAATCTATTCCTTCAAAACTATCAATTCTAACAGCATTATTCAGTGTTCAGTGAGAAGCATCAGTAGATATACCAGCCAAGTAACAATGCCAAAGGAGAAAATGGCCATTTGGAATTTGTTAATAATATAATATTTGTATTACATTGGCTTGTAATATTCGTCTGTTGAAAAGTATGAGTACATGCTGAAGACAGGAGAATGTCTGAACAACTAACTTACCCTCGGTTGAGTTTGAAAGCAAAACTCATTAAATTACTCTTGTGGTGCAATATCCTGGCATGTGTGACTTGTTTTTATTAGATTTTATTGTCTTAGCTATGCTAAATTGCATACTATGCACAGAGCTTATCCAGGGTACAGACTGGACAAACTGCGCAAGGACAGGTAATCTCTATAGCTAACGATTTTCAACATGAAGTAGCAGAGATGAATACTGTCATTTGAAAGGTGGATGTAATATCCTTCATCGTGGTTTCTTACGGTTTCTCACTCTGCTCCTGGACTATATAAAGCCAAGAGTCATCATGCCTCTCATAAAGATTATACCACTCTGCAACCATCAGCAGATGCTTTTACATGGGATGTTCCCAGTGAACCGCTGCTGCCATAATCATACCCCATACACTCATGCTCAAGTGGTGAGCAGTGGTAATGAAAATCATTGTGGAGGATTGCTGATGGGTGCTCAAGTGTTTTCTCTCAGTGCCAAAGTGGATTTCATGCAGGACGTTGAAACATATATTTCTCGCTGACCTCCACTGAGAAGTGCTTCAAAGACAGGTTAACAGAGTGAAGAAGAAGAAGGGTCGACGGAGTACGGAAAATAAAGAGTAAATATGACAGTAAATATGTGAACTAGGCAGAAAGTGACAGGTTTGATTTTATCACTTTGTGCATTTATGATAAGCTAATAGATGGATAGATACTTTATTAAGTGTCAAATAAAACAATAATTTGGGTGGCAAGTGATGTAGCCCATCTTTTTTTTATTGTTCTTGCTTTCTGTCTGAAAACATCTCCATGTCATTCACAATCACGTAACATCTCCAGTGGAAAGTTTCGGTTCAGTAATACTCTGCTACCAGACCAGCAATCTCACCAGCATGATGAATGAATGATGAATGAACTCTTGTGGCATTGGATCTGTACCAAGTGTGTTCCTGAAAGTCACGCTCTTAGACTGATGTCTGATGGAAATCTGCCTCTGGGACTAAAAGAACATACTGCTCCTGCCATAGGGTGTGTTATAACTACCCATGGGTCTGTTTCAGTGTTTACATTTTAATTTTTAGTGTGCACATATCGATCTTATCAGTTCAAATCAATCCTTCCAAGAACTGTCTGTGTAATTCTTTATACTTATAAATGATTGAATATTTAATATCTTGTTAGGTTAAGCCCGACTTTACTTCCTGATGACCACCAAGTGAGTTAATAATCAGCTAAAACATTAGACTACACTGACTGAGTCACTGAAATGGCTGACACACACGCACACACAACACAAAAGCTCATTCATTTTGACCCCTCAGAGATGTTGGTGTCTAAGACATACAGTACATCCAGTTAGAATTACTGCTGCTGCAGTTTACATACATTCTGTATCTGTCCAGACACATAATATATAGCATATAGTGAAGACTTTGAAAGCATTTAGTAAAAGATAATAAGTGTATTCTTGATTCTAGTATTAATTTAATTCTTTTTCCTTAGAATTCTGGCTCTAAATTCTTAATTCTGACTTTGACTTTATTCGATAAATGCCAATAAAGTCAAAGTCAGAATTAACTAAAGTCAGTACCGGTACTCAAATAAAACGTTTACAGTGGTCCTAATCGTCCTCT